TAAAGTGTAATACCGGCCCTCTAGACATGCCATCCCCATAGACTTTACTAGTAGCACCACCTGATTGTGTAATAGCCCTACAACCTCGATTTGTGCTTGCTACTAAACAACCCTCAGTGGTAGCCATTGGCACATAATATAACTTATTATTTAACAGCAATGGTCCGGAAACACCTACAGGCACCGGTATGTACCCGATTACATTCTCACAACAAGCGCCTGATACTACATTATAATCATAATTGGTGTATGGTACATTTTCTAGAACCTTTTGTTTGTGTGACAATTTTTCAATGACACGCCTCCTGATGGCAGCCCCTCTCCCGGCGTCGCCTAAAATGGATTCCAACTGATAGGCCGGTATGTGTTTGGTTTCCACTAAACACTGGATCTCCTGATCAGTCAACTCATGAATGCCATCCACTCTGTTGTATAACTCGAGTAATGTCTGAATATCTCGCATATCTTCAGATGTGTTACAATTGTTTAATACCACTTCAGGGCTTTCATCAGATGACGTGCTATTATCCCCAATATAAAAACTAGCTTGATTAGCATTAATAGATGTGTCCTTGATAACTTTTGAAAAATAAACATAACTTAAACATTTAATATTTTCACTCGTTTAATACAGTACCATTGTGTTCATAAATTGCAGCTATACTATATTTATTGTCAATATAGTTAATGTCGAGTTTATTATTTTTATAAACTTGTGATTTTAATGTTGACATAATTACCTGAATTCAAACCCTATAATTTATCTAATAAATTTTATTAAAAGTCTTTAACTAAAACCTAACTCAAGATACTTATTAAGTATACCATTAATATTTGGTTAATAGCTATTTATATAAGTTAGAAGATTTTATTTTAAAGTAATGGCATATACAAAGGTGAATAACATTAGTTTATTACATTAACCTCAAGCATAAATTACTAATATAAATTAATAATAAATTTGAATTTGCCATATGCGGCATATGAAACTGTGAGATAATCAAGTAGACTAGACTAGAATTTGTAATATATTATAAAAACTTATTTTTAACTCTTGAATGTTATTACCAGATCATACATATGTAAGATTATATTAATCATAATTTTCTATTTTACTAAATGATTACTATATAAATAAAAGTTAAATAAGCGAAATCTGCTAAATGTTGAGAAGGTTGGCCATACGAGGCACTCCCAATGCTAAGGAGTTATTATTACCTTGATCACTGAGGTATCGAGAAAGCCTCACAAAGCTATCCACGATATGTTCAAGTATTTGAATACCTGGACATTCTAGCCAAGGGTGGCATCAAGAATACATAGGCTTTGACTGATACATTACAAAGTATAGCCTAGCCTACTACATGATCTAAAATTTGTATTACACATTTTATTAATATAATAAACCTAATATAATTTATATTAAATACTAGGTACTTTATATATGAGGTCAATGTAATAAACAAAACTTATAAACTTATTTTTAAAGTGCATAATTCTAAATCATATAATAAAAAATTATAATATAAATAATTTCATATTATAAATAAGTATTTAATAAAATAAAATACATTGTTATTCTGTATTATTGCTTTGAAATTATAAATGTATAAATATAGTTTTGCTTTGTAAATTTATAATTATGTTTTAGATTTACATTTTAAAATGTTAAATAACATAGTAATGAATTATTATTAAACCTCTAATAAAAAATATAAAAATGACAACATAAAAATTATTAAATAAATTTAACTAAAAATTTATATCGTCAAAATCTAATTAATTTTTATTTAGTCATATGTTTAAGGTGAATGACAAGTATGTTATGCAACTGCCTTAGTGCATGTGCCATAATATATTACCTTATATAATTAACCCTATGCTTTGTAAATATATTTTCTAAAGGTTAACGTTAATAATTATTACAGATTTTACTATGTAAACATCTGTGAGTAGCACAAAACAATTAGTATTATAGCATGCATTGAAAGTGTGATAATATCTCAATCAAAAATTGCAATGAGTTCATTATTTTCAAGTGCAGATTTTTACGATAATTAAGTTTAAAAAGAAATTTGTATCTACAGCAATATAAAGAGTAGTTATATCTATAAATTTATAATGCTAGTATAATATGGATTTTAATGAGGGTTATCCCAAAAATGTGGGAATTCTTGCGATAGATATATACTTTCCAAACACATATGTCGATCNCTTTACTCGGATCTACTTTAATTGTTTTGACAGTATTTCCAAACTTGACCTTAACTTCGCCGGCGACCACACTCTTAATTAAAACATTATTCAACGTATGATTTTCCCAATAGATGTCCAACTCGTGTCCCCCTCTGGCCCGCAGACCTTTCGCGTGTCCGACCTTCCATTCCGCGGGCAGAGCCGGCAACAGTTCAATGAGTTCTGCGTGACTCTGGACCAGCATTTCGGCGACGGCTGCCGTTATACCGAAGTTGCCGTCGATTTGCATTTCAGGGAGAAATCCAAACATATTGGGACAGGTATTACGTTCTTTGAGCAGCTCGCGGAGTAAGAGGTAGGCGTTATCTGCATCCCTGAGCCGGGCATATATACCCGAGCGCCATGCGAACGACCACTCCCTCACATCACTGGATGGGTCTATACCTCTGGCCTTAAGCGACACCTATTTATTGTGTTTGTCGGATATAAAAAGTTTATGCAATGTTGACAATAAAAATAGGTTCACTACATGACATATAACTATGGTTATCAAAAGGGTAATCTGAGCAACTTTAATGTAATAAAACTATATCATTATAAAAGTAATCTCAAAACAGACTAATGCAAAAATATTCAAAGCATGGTCACCACTAGTTTGACTTATAATGGCAACTATGATATTCAAAGCCATATACCCAAATGTTAATTGCATTACAACCTACCGTAACCTAACCATAATGATAGTGCTGTGAACCAATCATATGGGAATAGGGTTTATGTCATAATGTCAACCTAAAAATATTCATGAATACCAGGGACGCGTTAGCCAAAGTGGGCGACGTTTCCCAATTGAATTGATGTCCCGGGTATACGCCAAACAAATGGGAAGTATGTCTGTGATGGTCATCCTTCTCGCCGGGTTGTTCTTCCATCCATTCCATCACTTGTCCGAAAGATCCAATCCCTGGCCATAACAGCTTATCCCTCTGACCTGCAATGCGATCCCTGAACTCTTTGTCGACTCCCAAAATATCCGCCGCTTTCACGTAATTTGTGTACAAATCCCAAACGATCTCTTGATTATAGCTGACGCCGTCCTCATGGGGTCCGTGCTCTGGTGACCACCCCTTAAAGACCACCAGTTTTCCCAACTGTTCTTTAGTGCCGTTCGTCACAACCTTCAGCTGCTCGTCCCAGAACTCGGACACCTCTTTCAGGTAGGGATA